GCAGACTCTCAGATTCCTCTCATTCTAATCCACCCTAAAGGCTAGAAAGGGATAGGATTGTGATCCTGGTGCTCACGTCTGGATGCCCCTGCTCTGTCTCCATCTCCTGCTACTGGCCAGAGAAGCATGGCAGGCATCGTTTACTCAACAAGCACTCTCTACGCATCTGTAACAGCACTGTATTAGAGGTTGGGTAGTAGGCATAGGGAGTGGATGAAACAATAATGTTCCTCCCTCTGGACACTACTCAGAGTGCCTACCAGTGTGGTCAGGTCAATTCTGGGCACATACATATTGATTTGGTTTTTGCTTTTTTTTACTCTTAGTTGCCAAAGGGTAAATTCTTCTGCAAGTTCTAAAAAGCATCGAACACTAATTGTGAGGGCACTTAATCAATGCTTCTTGTGAAAACTAAATTAAAATCAGAAGAAGACCTTACCCAATTCTAGGAAAGCAAAAGACAATCCCATGCTAAACCGAGAGGGTTAATTCCACAACGCAAGAACCTGGCTTGAGCTGTTTTACTGAAATAAAAAAATATATCTGCATTGCACTGACTCCTGGTCAAAGCGGAAGACATGCAGAATAACAGTGTTGCTCATAACCATAGTTTTGGGAGATTTCAATTATTTATTGATTCACAATTGCTGTAATGACATTGTTCATTTGCATCTGTTCTCATAGAGACATTGGCCGGCTCTGTCCCTCAACTAGTTATACAGCAACATTATGCCCCTGTGACCTGCTGGGCATAAGAAACCCCAGCTGAGACTTCCTTTTTGGATCACCTTATTTGAGGTGCTTTGTGTACACATCCACGGTTCCTGCATCCACAGAGAAAGTATATCCTAGTATAGTCTTTACAGAGGGAGGACAGATGGACCTCCTGCCCGCCTCCTCGGAACCCCTTGCCCTGAACTTGCCTTTGGCTGTGATGCCTATCCTTACTTCAGTGCAGCTGCTGTATCATATCTTTTTCCTGCAATGAACTGAAAATTTGCAAGCGTTGTCATTCTGGGTCCTCCGTTAGCAATAGAACCAACCCTGTCTAACCGCCACTGTTAGTGTGTATATACTGACTATAAAGGCAAACTGCATTTATATGAAAGCATTACCAACAGGCAGAGTAAACTGTGTCATTTCTGAGGTAGGCAAGGCAACTGGAAGAATCTTCTACAGCCCCCAATATACGCATTTCTCTGGCAAGTCTTCTTAGAGTTTGTTGTTAGACAAATGGACAATGGTTTCCCTGACACAAACCATTAACTTTCCAGCTTATAAAAGTCTTTTGAAATAATCTAAGCTGCAGCCCTCTAACAAAGCAGGTACTAATGAGCATCTCAGTGAATGAAATTAAAAAAAAAAAAACAACTTACATATTTATTGCCCAGGTGTGGGGAGGATTCATCAAGCTGTCAGTTCTTGGATTTTCCTTGTGCAGAGTGCTCACCTACAAACAGAAGATATATTTTGATCTATAAGCTCGGAGGGTAAATAAGGGTGAAAATAAAGTTTCTTGGCTTGTTTTTTATTTTCCCAGGGAAGTCCAATTTCCCTGCAAGAATGTCATGAGAGCCACACCTTGTCTCTTGGTATTGCCTGGAAATTGTTCAGCAAGGTTTATGAGCTTTTTTCCACCATCATCTGTTTTCACCCTAAAGGAGCAATGCTGACTAACTCCCTGGGAGTGGGGTGTGTGTGTGTGTGTGTGTGTGTGTGTGAGTTAACAAGAGAGGCACCCTAGGGAATGAGGTATAGATTTTTGCTTTTTCCCAGAACCTAAGCAAAACTATGTTATATGTTTAAACTGCCATTTTATCAGGAAGCCATCCTAAGGTACTCTGTTTAAATAATTGAGTGAGAGCTTTGTGAAAATGAATTTAGAGGCCAAGATGAACCTTTTGGTGATATACAGAGCAGCACAAGGGGTATTACTCAAAATAACATGTTATTCCATCTGCCAATATAAATATTGCCCTAGGCTGATGGGAAGCTGAAGATCCCAAGTGTTTTTATAAGCCCCTGAATCCATGATCAACACATTTCACACTACATGTGTCTTTTAGATAGATTCAAATATCAACATCAGTCACACTATCCTAAAGCAGTATGGGGCAAAGTTTCTGGCTTTGAGAATAAATGTCACTGTTCTGCTCCAGGTTTTATCTGTCATTTAGAAACCTGTTTCTGGGAACTCTGTTGATGTCACCTGTCACCAGCACTATCATGGTGATAATAAATAGTGCCAGAGACCAATGAGGAGAACAAACCTGGGACGCCCTTAAGAACCCCTTAGTGCTGTGCTCTGAGAGATGCCGGGCATAGAGCGACAGTCCTCCCAGCCGCCTTCCAGAACAACTTTTTGCTCACTATCATTATTTTGCAGAAAGCACAGCACTTCCTGGAATCCACGGCTATGAAGTACAGGAATAAGAAGTGAAAAAAATAGACACTTATTGAACCCCTACTGTTTGTCAGAGTCCTCTAAAGCAAATCATATGAAAATCATTCTGATTCTTAATATCTCCTTCCAAGTGCTGTCTAATTGGGAATAGAAAATATGAGAAAGATTCAATCACAGTATGAATCCAATAAGTTATAATAATGATGTCTATATTAAAAGCAAATGAAACTCATACCTAGATAAAAAACAACTGGAAAGAAATACACCAATGCCAATAGTGATGGCATTGTGTTGGATTTCATGAGTAATTTTTAATTCTTTTTTATTCTCTAGTTTTCCCTATTCTTTATTATGCATAATGTGGTCTAATATTAAAATGGCGGTATAAGTTATGAAGAGATATTACAAGACAGTGATACATGTTGATTTGCCAAATGAAAAAATAAGATCAGAAAAGGGAAAGACCATGTACACCGAAGACAGTCAGGGAAGCTTTGGTGGAAATGTAGGGAATGGCCAAACACTGAAGGGCTGAGAAGACAGAAGCTGATCTGTGTATGACTTTCTAAATCTTTTGATCTTTTTGCTCATCTTCACACTTCACATTTCTTTTGTTATTTGTAAAAATAAATAAGCAAAAAAAAAGTGACTGTACATTTAATAATTACCATAACATACTAATTAGTATTAGCATGCTAATAATATACTAATAATGTATAATTACCATAATGGTGAAGTGGTGGAGGGGAAAGAGAGACAAAAGGGACCAAGGCACCATCTCTTCCTTCAAAAGAGCTTGAGTTCAGCAAGGAAGACAGGGGTCAGAGATGAATGGTGTCTGGAGAATATGAGTTAGTAAGTGGTTCACAGACTGAACAAGGGAAAAGGCCTTTGTAGACATGCTAAAGTGTTTGAACTTCATCTTAGGTAATACAAACTTACCAGTTTTCTAAACAGAGGAATATTATAATGAATTCGGATCTGCTTTTTCTTCTTCCAAATGGTTCAAAATCAAGTAGTGCTTTAGAACTAAATTCAAAGATACTATGCTTTGTTTCTTCTGTGAAGTTATGTATTCTTTAATTAATTTAAGCAATTTTTCTTCATAATTCTTATAGTCTTTGATATTAAAAATAAGACAACATATATTCACTTTCTGAGATGTGCATTAAGTGGGAATCATGTTTAAAATGCATCATTGTCACATACATGTTTTGCAGTCAATCATGGTGATGTTTAACTGAGCAAGATTTCTTACTAAAGTTGAATGGGATCTTGTATGTTCTCATAAAGGACTCCTCGATCTACCATGTTTGGTGCTTATTTGTTTCTGAAAGCAGATTCCTATTGTACTCTAGCAACCTTTTTCCTTCACATTAAAGAAAACTCCTAATTTAAATAATCAAATTTTAAACATTTATGGGTTACATTTTCAGCAGAAGAACCCGCTTGAGAGAGAACATACTTGAAGAAAGCAAGGAATGTGCATGGATAAATACCATGGCCTAATCAGAGGAAACTTTGGAGTAAGGAACTATCTTATTAGGAGAAAATGATCAGAACAAAAACCATGGCTCTTGGAGGCTTCTGGAAACCCAGACACTTTAGCATCCACTGGCATTTCCCCTAAAGGTGGGTTTCTGTAGAGCTCTGTTTCCTTGGAAACATGATTTATTGACCTCCAAAATGGCACAGTTTATTCTGAGATACAATACCAGAGCTTATAAATTAAAGTACTGACTAATCCAATGAGTTCTTATGGCCACTGAATCTCAAATTTCATTTTGTTACCACTTAGGCACATTAACACTGCATTTCTTCGGCCATAGCAAATAACATAAAATGTAACAATCATCAATTCTGAGTGGTAGGTAGTCAGATACTTGTTCTATCAGATTCTTTTCTGTATTTCTAAAAATTGTTATATAGGAGATAGTGGAAAATTGAGCTAAGCCTGTGTTTTTATATCAAACTTACTCATTTCAGATTTTATTCTTGTTATATTTTAGGGAAAATGTCATGGTTGTGCAAAAGATGTTTAGGTAAAATAACTATAACAATGTAACTTCTGTTGAGTGTAGTGAGCATAGTTTTATTTAAAAAAGCATATTTGAATACATTTAAAAGGAAGCGAGAGAGATTTTTTGATGAGTGTTTCAGGAAACAGACTTTAGTAAAAATTGTAGTATAAACAACATTTGGAGATCATTATGTTTTAGCTTATTAATTCTAGACTATTGAAACTACTCTGAATGAGCAATTGCAGTTTTGCCCTATCACCAAATATCTTCCATAGTAATCAGCTAGGTTGACCATTGAGAGATTATCTCATTAAAAGAGGTATGATTCCTAAGTTGAGGTTGGCAGAAATAAAAAGACCAGGGAATAGATTTTATTATTTTCATGATGATATTTCCTCCTTAGCCCTGTGACCTGAAAATGTACTTATGATGAAAAGGAATCTTAGAGAATTAAGGGTCTTCTTAACTATCCCCCATAGTCTACTTCACTTGTCACCGCAGTGACTATGGGAGTGGGAGAAACCAGTTTATGTAGAATTTTCCCTGGGCCTTAAAGAAGACTCAGATATTAAATTTGCAACCAGGAAACAAGGTTCTCTGGAAATTTCCTACCCCCAAGCGTCAAATCGGGTGTCAGTTGTCATTTCCCTGGTAGAAATGGGGAGTAGGGCAGGTGGTCCTAATCCCAGCCCTCTCCTCACAAGGATAACCAGGGGCTCCTACACGGACCCAGGGGCTCCCATAGCTCAGAGAGCCTGGGGGCTGCAGAGTGTTTTGTTAAATCCTCACCAGAGTAAGGAGAACGCATGAAATTATTGTGATGCTGACTTGCAAGCCACAGGCAGATTCTGAGAACTTTTCTTGGCAAATCGTGTGGTCACCTTCAGGATCCTTACTTAAGACTAGTTCACATGTAAGCTGCTCCTCCCTGACCCGGTAAAATAGGCTTGGCAATTTAGTCAAGACGGGTGAATAGTCGGGGGAAAACTGTAAGTGGTTTACAATTATCCTATGAATGAATTTTACTCCTTTGCCCATTCAGATAGTTACCTCCAAGAGAACTGTGTGGGAATAAAGGGAATGTGTGCATCAAAGAGTAGAAGAGATACAAGAATGAAGAAGGTCTCTCGTAAGGGAAAATGACTCTCACGAGGGGCCTGGGCACGTCTCTGCAGATTCTGGGTACCCTCAGTTTTCAAGGCTTCTGCCTGCATGTTGTAGTTTGTTCTCGTTAGAATTTCCCACCTGAAGTTGGGACCACATTCAGCCTTTGATGTCTTGCTCTTGAATTGGGACAATACTGATTGCTTTTTGTTTGACAAAATTGTTTTTTGCTACATATGTACAGCGGAGCTTATTATTCAATAGCTCTCACCTGACATACCATCTGTATTCTGTGACTATTTTGTATAGGTAAAATGGGGGACTGAATATTGTAAATGTTCCCATGTAACTTGGTATTTAAATTAGATCCACATGGATTGTTTTCTAGAGCGAATAATTATTTTTTATATATCTGTTTTGTAATATTGAGGTTTTAAATCTTTGGTCTACTCAAAAGAAGAAAAAAAATCTGTGCTTTTTCATTTTTAAAAGCTACCTGGCACCTCATTTTTCATTACTCTTGATGCAGATATAATTCATACAAATCACACCTATATTTTGAAAAACTTACACATTTCAAATCCAATTTAAAAACATAAGAAATTGGAAAAAAAATGTAAATTTTATCAACAAGAGATTGTGTTCTCTCCTCATTGGGAAGCTCAATTAAAATTATATGAAATGATACAAAGTAGGATTTACATTTTACCTGATGAATCCTGGTTCCAGTTGACTATAGATAGCTGTTACCAAAAATGAAACAGCAACAGCAATAATAAAAACCATGTAGTACATTTAATGTTCTTTCTGCTACTACCGCAGAGTAGAACACATCTTGAGTTACCACCCCTTCTTTGGAACATATTCATATTATAAAAAGCAACCTCTAGAAGTACAATAGTCTAACGATCTTACCAAAAAACAATATTTCTAGGACTCATCTTCTCCGTATAGGAGAATTTTGCATTGTGGGGGAGTTACTAATTGTCTATTTCTAAAGAAATTATGCTTTTTGGTTGTGTTTCACCTGGACAAAATCCAAGTTAGAATTTGAAATAACCATTTTCAGCTAATCCACAATCTGGGAGCTTACCTGACTCATGAGAAATTGTCTTAACAGTGAGAAGCTTCACACTCTCTTTATCGGACTGAGGTCTATTTGGAACAGAAAACATAAGTCAACACCACCGTATTTAGCATTGTCTGTCTGTGAAAAAAATTATACATGGTATAAACAGAAGATACTCCAGCATATATATATTTTTATGTGTTTCTATGGCAAAACCTGTGTCTTTTTACGTGCAGACATATATTTACTTTTATAGCACTTTCTACTTCTAGAATCCAGCCAATAAGTTCCTGTCACACTGTTAAGCAATGATAGATAAATCAAACACAAAAACGGGTCATGTGAAACACTGCTCACAAGGTCCATGTCGCACAGGTCTCCAGTCCTGAATTATGAAAGGGAAGACAGAGGGATGTTTCCAAGCCTTCAGGGCTAATGCTGAGTTCTGGGGATATCCCTTTTCATGAGGGCCTAGATACTGCAGTAAAGTGTCTGAGCTGTCCATTCGAACCAGGAATTCCCACCTATCCTTTCTCAGATTCTAAACAGTTTCAAACCCAGATTACTTTACTTGGACATCTCAAGAGACACTATTTCTAACAAAGAAGGATAGATGACCTAAGGATATTATTTTTAAAGTCCACTATCTGATGAACATACAAAACCAGCTACATAAAGGCAGGCTGCAAATTCGGGCCAACAAAGAAGTTTTAACTACAAAACTTGTTTCTGACATTAAAACAATTGTTTCTTTATAGAACCTTGATTGTAACAGCTGGCTGGATTGGTAACAACTACTTTTTTGTTTTAATAAAGTCAAAATAGAATAAACCATCTACTGCTAAGATAAAGCCACCTTAGAGCTGTCTCAAGATGCAGGCAAGATTATTCCCTGTGATAAACATACTGAAAATTTCACTGGGAAAACTATTTTAAAACTCTAGGTATGTTTTCTATGAGATATTTCCTTATAGTTATTTATATTCATTCTTCTGTCTTTGCATTTCATCTTTATTTTTATTTTTATTTATTTATTTTAGAGAAAGAGAGAGAGAGAGCACAAGTGAGGGTAGGGGAAGAGGGAGAGGGGGAGAGAGAATCCCAAGCAGACTCCCTGTTGAGCGTGGAGCCCACAGGGCTTGATCTCTCGACCCTGACACCATGACCTGAACTGAAGTCAAGAGTTGGACGCTTAACTGACAGCCACCCAGGCACCCCTGCATTTCACCTTTTGATTTCCCATTTTACTACCTTATCTAAGCTTAAGAATAATCTTCCTTTTTAGTTGTTGGAATTCCTCTGTTGATTCAGAGAGAGTACTGACAAACAGCCAAACCCTGCTTCTTGTGCTTTTTACACAAATTCTTCAAAAAAAACAAACCCAAAAAAGTGTAAGTAGAAGATTAATTTTTTTTCCCTATATAAATGGGGGTCAGAGCTTCTGGGGAAAAAAAATGATGAGGCTACTTACTGGTCATTTCCATTTTCCGGTGTGCCTAGGGGAGGAGAGAATAGTTATTAAAGCTGTGAGAAGCCTGGTTATAAAAACAAACAAACAAACAAAAACAACCCCAAGACCCCTGCTACTTTCTGTGCAGAGATGTTTATAAAGCCATTTTGTAACTTTTTTATCTCCCCTGCAGCCCCACTGGCCTTTTTATCAGATATGGTTCCTATTATTCCTCAGGTATGACTGATACATTCATGGGATAGTCCTAAGTAGGCCAACTCCGCTGAATTTAGTTCTGGACTAATTTTAATCTTATAGTTTCATATCGCTATGTGAAACTACTATCCATTATCACACATCCCACAGACACCAGAAAATGTCTTAGCTTATTTCAGTATCTCTGAAAAAAATTTTCCTCAAAGTATCGAATTACCTTTTTATACCAGAGAATTGAATTTTTGGCTCTCCTTTATACACTGCTCTTTCTGGAGACACAAATCACTGTATTTGTGGTGAACAACAATGTAGACGTTATTTCTAATTGCATCTGGAGCCCACTGATTCGGCCTCTTAAAAGTGCTCTGCAAAATGTCACTGAGGCTACTAACTGTAACTAATGTTTTGTCCGTTTTGCTGGGCTGCTCCACCAGGGTCTGGTAGAAGACATTTGGGGTGTAGAGTGAGAATTCAGAATGATTCATTTCACACAAACCCTTGGACATTAGGGAGGATATGTTGGTGGTCAAACCTTGCATCATTAATCTGTGGCGCATCAGGCAAACTAATGTAATTGCTTGGGGTCCCCCTGTTTTGTTCCCAATTTTGCTGTGGTTTTCTTCCATCGCTACTCAACTTTTGTCTCTTGGATTTCCTTTCACCTCTAATGTAGCCCTTGTCATTGGGATGTGCCCTTGAAATATAATTCCCTGGCGGTGATCATCATTGTTTTATAAAGAGTTTGATTTCCACTAATATTTTGGCTACTTCTATTTCTGTCACCTTGGCAAAGATAAGCCATCATGACTCTTAATCCCTAGGACTTAACTCATGGCACCATATGTTGTTCACCAACTCGATCTAACTTTGTCTTCCCAACATCAGTAGGATTTTAGCAGCATTTTTTATTCCTATTTTAAGTGTTATGTATGATATCACTCATGATGCTCATAACCCTGTTTCAGAATGAGTTGATACTTCTTTGCGTGCCTGTTCTAATATTTTTCCTTAGAATACTGCAATATGGGTTCATTAGCAAAGAGATGCATACCAACAGACTATCTTCTACATATATGCTGTTCTTCCTTGGGTTAAAGCTCAGACCACTGTCAACATTATCTAGGTAAGCTAGATAATTTCGTACCACAATCTCTGATTCATATTGTCTTCCACAAAGCAGAGAGGGTTTACAAGTTTTCTGAACTTGATGAAGTCTCACCCACATACTTGAAGAGAGATTAACTATGGGTATCTAATGGTGCTAATTTAAAAACAATTCTGTAAAATTCTGTTTGGAAAGCAAAGTTAACAATAACCAAATAGATTTGGATAATTGTATAATTGCTGAACTTTGTTATAAAGTATTATATGCCTCCACAATAACTCTCCATAGCGGTAGGGATTTTATATATCTTTCCCTGAATGATCCAATTCATCCAATTCATCTTCTTTAATAGAAAATGTCAACTTTTCAAATAACTTATTTGCAAATGTTCTTATGCAAAGCAGTCTTTCAGTACAGGATATTTTTAAAAATGGATTTAGCACATTAATTTTTTTTACCTATCCTACATATTCAACACCCACAGGCTTCACCTTGGAATGGTCGATTTCCCATAAAAGATAGGATTGGTGGTTTAGAGACTTAGAGAAATTAAACTGATTTATAAAATTGCTATTTCCCCTCTGGAAATTGACTAAGGAAACATATTTCAGACATTATTAAGAAGTTTATTCACTAACTCCCAAAGGGAAAGGCATTTATTTGTTTTCTGCTTATTTTCCAATAAGAGCTAAAATGAACATTACTGGTTTTTTGTGTAACTTTGTCTTGTACTGTCACGCTCCTGTCCTGAACTTTGTGCCGTGCATGGTCAGGGATTGGCCGTAGGAACAGCATCCCTTGGTATCCTGGGGGCACACTGTTCATGGGGTAAAGAAGAGTGTGGCTTGCATATCTTCTAAAATTAATCAATTTTGGGGCACCTGGGTGGTGCAGTCTGTTAAGCATCTGACTCTTGGTTTCGGCTCAAGTAGTGACCTTAGGGTCGTGAGAACGAGCCTTATGACAGGCTCTGCACTCAGCGCAGAGTCTGCTTGAGATTCTCTCTCTCTCTGCCCCTCCTGCTCATGCTCTCTCTCTCTCTCAAATAAATAAATATATATATAAAAAAATAAAGATAAAAATAATCAGTTTTTACTTCTTAACAGGAGATGAGACTTAGGTGGTATTCTTGTTAGTGAAATATTTAGAATTGAAGTGAAGAAAAGGAAGGTTCTATTTTATTGGAAATTTAAAAATTTATTTTGACAAGCATCTAGTAAGGTTCTGCTATATATTATGCACAATGCAATGTGAACACTATGTGGTGTGTGACTTGGAGGGCTTGCCTGATGTTATTGACTGTTTCTGTTCTCCTAAAATTCATCTGTTAACTTTTTTTTTTTTAAAGATTTTATTTATTCATTTGAGAGAGAATGGAAGAGAGAGCACGAGAGGGGGGAGGGTCAGAGGGAGAAGCAGACTCCCTGCTGAGCAGGGAGCCCGATGTGGGACTCGATCCCGGGACTCCAGGATCATGACCTGAGCCGAAGGCAGTCGCTTAACCAACTGAGCCACCCAGGCGCCCTCATCTGTTAAATCTTAATGCCCAATGGGATGATATTAGGAGATGGAACATTTGGAAGGGCATTAAGTCATGAGGGTGGAGTCCTCACGAATGGAATTCATGCCCTTATAAAAGGGACCCCAGGGAGCTCTCCTGTCCCCTCTGCCACGTGGAGACACGGTGAGAGCGTGGCTGTATAGAAAGCAGGAAGAGTGCCCTCGTCCGACATCAGATGTGAGGACGCCTTGATTGGACTTCTCAGCCTCCGGAACCATGAGAAATGTTTGTCGTTGAAACCACCCTGCCCAAGGAATTTTTTGTGATAGCAACCCCAATAGAACTAAGACCCATCTTGCAGGGGCAGCGGGCACTAGAGAAGTAACTCTACGATCATGTGATGAATAATATCACAAAATTCTGTGCAATTAGAAGAAAACACTCTATTCTTCTTAAGGAGATGGTGTGTTATAGAGAGATACTCTCAGTTGCTGTGTGAGCTAGATCTTTCATGGATAGATTGGAGATTGGTTATGTTATAAAAGTTAAGTGGTGAGCGAGATGTTCTAGGCGAGGGAATAGCACGGATGAAGGCACGGGGACGTGACACTACATTACACAGCCAGGGCTCGGGTCTGGAATAGAAAGATAGGTCAATGTTTAAGACAAGAGAGGGGAATGCCAAGCCATGGGAACTGAAGGTGCTTCGAGAGAAGCTCAAGTATCTGGGATGGAAAAAAGACTGAATGAAGACTTTAGGAAATCTGAATAAGGTAGGGATTTAGCTAATAACAATGCATCAATATGGTTAATTAATTGTGACAGATATAGCAATACTACTGTAAGATATTAATAATAAGGGAAACAGGGTGGTGTATGGGAACTCTCTAACTATCCCTGTCACTTTTCTGTAAATCTCAGTCTATTTTAAAATAAAAAAAATTTATTTAAAAAAGAATAAAAATATAATGCCATTATGGAAACCATAAATATTTAAGAGGAGGGAGAAGATGAAACCGCAAAGAGAGAGAAAAAAAAAAAAGAAAAACAGAGTGAGGATGTAAAAGAGAGCAGTGCGATTAATTAATTAAGTAGTTAAATAATTAATTAATTTTAGTTTCAGGGGTAGAATTTAGAGATTCATCACTTCCATACATCATCTGATGCTCAGCACTGCATGCCCTCCTTCATCCCCGTCACCCATTTCACCCATCCCCCCCCCCAGCATCTCTCAGTTTGTTCTCTGTAGTTGAGAGCAGCGGTGCTATTTTAAAGAAAAGAGGAAAGACTTTAAACGTCACTGGAGAGATTAAGGAGGATAAGAAAGAACTGTCAAGCTAAAAGCCCACTAAAAATCGCAATCATGTTCAATCCTGAGGAGCTGAATCAATTAGCAGAACACACAGCCACGGAAGACACCTTCCTTGGAAGGAAGCTGTGCCTCCCAGGAGGGCCGAAGTCATAGAACGCTCTCCCTGAGATTGTGGGCCCCTCAGCTAAATTCTTAGCAACGCTTACCTCTATTCTCTGTCACATGCAAGTGGAAAAATTCTTCACTACAGTGAAGGTGTGTCGTTTTATGCCTCCGTCATACCATAATCCTCTGGCCACTCACAAAACGGGGGTTATTTCATGAAAAAGAATCTGTCCATATTTGATAATATCTGCCACTAGCAGGTAATCTTCACCCCTTACATTCATCAGCATTCAGTGGGTTTCTCTGCCCCTTCTCCTCTATTTCTGTGATCAAGCAATAGGGCATTTTATTTCTTTCTGTAATCCTCCTCTCCCCTTGAGTTTAAATTCGAGTTTAGATTGAACATATATTCACCTTTCAGAAAACAAAATGAAACAAAACCCTGTTACCTACCTGGGTCTGTCTTCCAGCACATTCGATACAAACCCACAAGAACAAATGCAGAAAGTGTCACTACAATCAAAGCAATCACCACTGGCAAAATAATACCTAAAAAGTATTGAAGACGTTGTCAATTAGAGTGGCTATTGAATTTAACCGTAAAGAATTTACAGAGCAAAGGCACGCATGCATCCTCCCTTCTTCAAACATCACTCTATTAAACATACTATATTTTCAGCAAAGAAGATTTATCTGATTCAGAGGTTTTACTCTAGTTGTCATTTCTGACGGATCCACTTGATGTCAGTCTTGCAGCCTTTTGAAATAAAGTTCCAAACGTAAGGGAGCTGGTTTTCTCACCTTCTTAGAGACTGGAAAAGTGGGGAGATGGAAGACTGGAGAAGCAGAAGATGTCCTCTAGACTATGGTCAGACCCACATTCACACATTATATCCTTACTACTTCATAAAAAGATTGCTGGAATATCTATCTATCTATCTATCTATCTATCTATCTATCTATCTATCAATCTATCTACCTACCTATCTATCATCTATCTATCTATCCCATACTGGAACTGCTCTAGTCATGATGTTGGCTTCCTAAAAAACTCAGAAATTTTCAATTTCTAAGGAAATGAATGGATTTTTTCTATTCAGTCATAGAATACACATATATGGTATATGATATATATGTTTTTGCTAAAATGAAGCATTTCTTTCAAGGCCATTTTTAACATAAGTTAAAGTTCTGTGAAGGTGAATAATTTGTTTTTAAGGAGCTCTCTGCCTGTGCACTTATGGTTTATCTTTCCATAATAATATCTTAAAACTAGAAAAGGTATAAAATAGCATAAGTGGACATAAATGGATATCAGAGTGGATATGATTTCTAAAAATGAGCACACGGTTCAAGAAAGATGTACGTGTGTTCGTGCACATACATTTGAGGGAGTGGAGTTGTGACAGTAAATCGGGGTGAGTTTTTATTCAGAGGAGGGTCTGGCTGTTTTGGTTTGGTTTTTAGCATCTGTCTTCTATTGTGACAATCACTGCCCAGGTTAAAACAACAGTGATGAAAAGACGAAGCTGTCATATAGCCGTACAACCAGAGGTGTAGAGGCCTCGTTATTATTTAGCGCTGTCTTCTCATCTGCTTGCATATGTCCTCCTTGTATTTATCCAATTTTCTATAGGATGGTTTATACTTCCAAAGTTATAGTTAAATATTTGTTTCATATTAGACCTTGAGCGAGATGATGAATGTCTCCCAAAATGAAGATGCCTTGAATTAACAGGTCGATAAATGCAATGTTGACTTGTTGAATGGAATGGTTTTACCTAAACCTAGATAATCTTTTATCATTGACTTCATATACATTCATCTTATTCTTAATTTCTAGGAAAATGAGTGGATTTTTTTCTATTCAGTCCTAGAACATACATATATGTTACATGATATATATATGTTTTTGCTAAAATGGAGTATTTCTTTAAAGGCCATTTTTAACATAAGGTAAAGTTCTGTGAAGGTGAACAATTCACTTTTATGGAGCTCTCTGCCTATGCCCTTTGGCTTATCTGGGACTAGTCTCATCAATTCACCTTGACCCTTGGTGGTAATTGCTTAGGACTAGGGTAAGAAAAAAATCCCAAAGGTGTGCTCATTAAAACTAGATGCAATAGTAGGAAATTCTCAAAGCAGACGATAGGTAGGATTATAATGAAACTGCAGGTTTAGTAAAGTTGATAAAAGGCTGTCAATAATCAAATCCTCTCTGTTATTAGCCACATTCAAACATTTTGCGTATTTGTTGCCACGAATGAAGGTACATCTGTTACTCACTGGAGTAAGAGGGGCTGGCTGAAGAAGAGCTTGCATTTTTTGCATCCTCAGTACCTATTATTTTAAGAAAGAAAAACAGTAAGTCACCTTTGGTTAATGTATGCCAATCCTCACAATCCTCTCCCCCACCCCCATTTAAGTAAGCCTCTGTCATCTCTAGGTATGATGCTTCAAGTGGAAAAAAAGCTCTCTCATTCTGAAAGAGCTCTGTTTTGTAAATCAAGATTGGTAGGGAGTTAATGTATACAGTTTGATGAATTTGGACAAATGCCTTTACCTGTGAAACTATCACCACAATCAAGGTAATAGACGTTATCTATCACTTTCAAAGTTTCCTTGTGTCCCTATTTTACTGTAGATGTGCAGTTTTGTTTTGTATTTCAATTATAGCTCGATAAAGCTGTTAAAAAAAAAAAAAGATTTGTAGGGTTTTCTTGGTGAGAAGGGGTCAAGGAAAGCACATGTCCATTCATGCACACGGAAGTCATACCTTGAAACTGGGAGCTGTTTCCTGGCGTTGTTACTGAGATTGAGGGTAATGTACTGGTGTTAGAAGGTGACGCCTCTGGATGTAGAGGGTTAACTGTAGGGAAATCACAAATCCAATCAGAGGAGGGTGTTAATTCTTCTTACTGAATCTCTTTGCAGATTTTAATAGTTTGCATTTCTGAGGACCTGTGAAAACTGTTTATTGTGGAATCATAGGATACACACAATCATACACTAAATCATAAGTTCCTTTATTCCTCCTGTAGAGATGATTAAATTTGGAATCACACAACTTGGGTATCAGTATCACGTCTTGAAGTACTGGCCAAGAAAGCTGGAGTTATGTCTCATCCTAGGCTGCAGTCTGTATCACCCGCTGCATGACATTCTTGTGGGACGCAAGTCTATTCAAAAGCAGTCATCACATTTCAGATATTACAACTTTGGGGGATAGAGATTTTTTTTTCCCAACACACAACTTAAAATAGACATAAATGCACAGGACTTCAGATTTTATCCTGTTTCTTAGAAAAGATTGAGACTGAGGTTTTGGTTAAAAGGACTGGGGAAGATATCAAGGAAGATTCCTTCATTTTGACCCTTAAAGCTCAGTCGTTGTTTACATGTATGTGCCTTCTCTAGAATAACTGCATTTCTGCCACTGTTTCATGCTCTTCTTCCAAAGGAATTTTTAATTTTAAGTTATTATTATTATTATTATTAGTTTACTTAAGTCAACATCTGCCATCTTCCACCAGAAGGCCTGAAACAAAAGTTGTAAATAAAAATGCATTATTCAACATCCACTAATCTCAACAAGTTGCAAGGAAATACGAATATGTAAATGCTTTATAAGCTTGGAGTATTTTTTCTTGTGAATTTGGGACAAAACACCGTTTGTATTTAGAATGATTTTGAAAAAGAATTATTTTTCAAAGGATATAGTTTAAAGGGATCTCCTTTGATCACACCTGTTTGCCTTGTCTCACCGCTGAAGTTTAAGTTCCTGTGGTGTGAAGGCCGTAACTCCCACTATACTCCACATGGAGCTCTACCTGCAGTGGGTGTGCAGTGAAATGGAGCTGGCTGCTTGGCTGAAGCAAGAGGCATCTCTCATACTTATGGCCCCCTGTGGAGTATTGAGGACGTGTATAATTGCATCAGAGAAATTGATATTGCCTATGACTGCCTTGGATCTTTCCTTCTGCCACCCACAGCCCAGCACGCAGTGCATGCTCATGCCTTTTTGACATCTGTCGGGGAAGAATAACGTTTGGAGTCTTTACCGTTCTTGCCATGCAAGAAATCTGTGGGATGCCCATAAGAACAAAGAAAAATGTCAGCCTAGTGCACTAAATGGGCAAAAAAAGAAATATTAAATGAAAGAGTGGGAACTAGCTGAAACCTTGGTACTTTCAGCTGCCTTTTCCTGCGTCAAGTGTTTTAGTGAGACGTTGCTCTTTTGATTGTGTTGGTAGAGAACAAGACGGCTGATTAAATTACCTGGGATTTCCCAAGGGTTAATTTTCAAGACTCCATATCCGATCTTACTACCGTCTCATAGACAAGCTAAGTGGTTACAATTCTGAATGTAACCTATGTGGTTTAGATAAAACTCCAAACTTTCCTACTTAACACATGTTGATTGTCCAGTGCCAACTGTTATTACTAATGATCCATGGGGGTTGGCAATAGAGTTAACCCTTTTGAAAGAAGAATTTATTGGCTCCTTGGACAAAGCCTTTAAAAATTTTGTTTTTCTTTTAACTGCAACCTTCAATTAATAAGTCATTTCTGGGGGTGCCTGGGTGGCTCAGTTGGTTGAGCATCTGACTCTTGATTTCGGCTCAGATTGTGATCTCATGGGTCATGGGATCAAGCCCTGAGTTGGGCTCAGTGCTCAGCAGTGAGTCTGTTTCAGATTCTCTCTCCCTCTCTCTCTGCCCTTCCCCCACTCATGCTCTTATTCTCTCTCTCTCTCAAATAAATAAATATTTTAAAAAATCATGTCTGAATCTGTTACACACCTACACACACACACACACTCACACTTTACCTCTATTACTTGTGATGCCTTCTGGTATTTTGTTTTCTATTGTCTTTTATTTAATTTTTCCAATAGTGGTCATGACCCACTTTTGGAAATTAACTCACAATTTGAGAAACCCTATTAGCATGCTCATATCAGTGAAATTATTATTCTTGGCTTAATTCATAAATTGTGGCCCTAATGGAATTCTTTCTGTGACTAGGACAGAAGGATCCATGATGTGTTCAGAGATGATGATCTCTATGGATTTTGTTGAGACTCTATTATGCTACATTACTACTAAAACAGCATTGGCAGAGGAGGTACAGGAGAAGTATAATGGAGTAGTTAAGAGCATGATTCTGAAGTCAGAGCAACTGGATTCAAATCAGACTGTAGAACTTGTTTCCTATAGAGTGCTAGGCAAGTCACTTAACCTCTTTGTGCTTGAGTCTCCACATGTACAAGGGGTGATTTTAATAGTTCTGTATCATAGTGTTGTAAAGCCAAAGGGATAAAATTAAATTTAAATGGCTTAGAAAAGTACTTGATACTAATATCTTTATATTACATTATTTTATAATATTTTATTATTATATTATTTTATAATATTTTTATTATATTGTGATTAGGCCTCTAAAGAGTTGTACTTTTTAACTAAAGTCAACTTGTGCCATTTTTTTCAAAAATTCTTAATGTAAAAATAAATGCAATAGACTATTCTGACACCTCCATGTTTTTGGATGCTCCTTTTCTCTAACCAGGAATTGGAATAACTGGAGTGTATAGCACTCTTACATGACATAGATTTACTGTGGGACCCTGACTTTTGGTGATTATAATGATTATTTAATTGCAGATATGTTGTGTCATTTTTTTAAAGATTTTATTTATTTATTTATCTGTCAGAGAGAGAGAGAGCACAAGCAGGGGGAGCAGCAGAGAGAGAGGCAGAAGCAGGCTTCCTGGTGAACAAGGAGCCCAACATGGGGCTTGATCCCAGGACCCCGGGATCATGACCTGAGCTGAAAGCAGAGGCTTAACCAACTAAGCCATCCAGGTGCCCCTGCTGTGTTATAATTTATACCCAGTTTGCAAGCCAGGAACCTCCAACTACGGGCAGTGTAATTGACCAAGCTTTCCCACCTGCTTTCTGAAATTCATCATTGTGTTCTTGCTGATGCCATGCCTCCCCCAGGCTGCCCCCAGCCAATGACTGAGCCTTGCAAAGATATGAAAGCAGGCTTATTCTTGGAGCCAGAAACTCCTCTGAGGAGATACTCAGGCTAGAGGAGTCCCTGTTGCCCTCTTAGAAGAGAGTATATAAGATACATAGATATTAATGGGAGAAAACTGTGATTGGCAGTAGAGGATAAGACATTCTATATGAAAAAGAAAATAAAACTATATATTCTATTTTTATTTCTTGTATGTTGCCTACACTTCTTTCTAATATGTGGACACTTAAAGTTAAGTACCTGAGGGGCTAAACTCAACTGAATCGAATGATTGTTTCCCATAATTGGGACTTGTGTTTAATTGCAATTTGATGGATTCATGTCTCATTTTTAAAAATGACTTTTCAGCATTTGACACAATAAATCATTCACTCTTCCCTAACACTTTTTCTTCACGTGGCTACCAGTAGGAGCACAGCTTATGGCTTATTCTTCTTGGTCTCTGGCTGGTTCCCCTTTCTTTCTCTGACTCACAATCTTAGAGGGTCCTGGGGCTTAATTCTTGGTCTTCATCTCTAACTACACTAATTTCTTTGATGATCTCATTCAATTTCAAGGCTTAAATACAACATCAATCCCAATGATCCCCGAATTTATATTTCCAGCCCAGATCTCATTCTTTTTTTTTTTTTAAAGATTTATTTATTTATTTGAGAGAGCGAGAATGAGAGAGAGTACATGAGAGGGGGGAGGATCAGAGGAAGAAGCAGACTCCCCGCCGAGCAGGGAGCCCGATGCGGGACTCGATCCCGGGATTCCAGGATCATGACCTGAGCCGAAGGCAGTTGCTTAATGAACTGAGCCACCCAGGCGCCCCGCCCAGATCTCATTCTTAAACTCCAGATGCATAAAGCCACATACTTACTCAGCAAATAATAAACATCTTAAATTCAACATGTCCAAACTTGAACTTCTGCTTTATCTGCAGGTTTCCCATCTGGCAATCATTCCTTCCAATCTTTTGGGCCAAAGACTTCACAGCTATTTTTACCTCATCTTTTACATCCTACCCCACATGCAGGATCAGCAGGAATATCTATTGGTTTCACCTCCGAAACATATAGAGAATTTGGAAACTTCATGCGACCTACCCTGTGACTACCCTGGTCCAAGCTAATATCAACTCTCTCCTGGAAAATTTCCAAAGTATTTTTGCTTCATCTGACAGGCTTTCCTTAGCTCTCAGATTTATATTTATAAAATATGACTCAGATCATGTCACTACTCTGCTCAAGACACACAATATTTCCACATTCCACTTATGGAAAAAACCAAAGTCCTTGCAATAACCCTCCAAAGCCTAGGCAATCTGCCTGGCAAATCTCCTGCCCCGCTTACTCAGTGCAGGCACTGAAACACACAGGGTCTCTCTTCAAGCCTGGGTGCTCTTCTCTCACACACTGGTTTGCTCACTTCCTCGTACTTACTCAAATCTTTTTAGGAAAGCTTACCTTGACCACTTTTTTCAGTCCTGCAAACTGGTCCCCACCTTTCTTCCCCTCCTAAGCCCTTCTTCCTACACTGCTGTGCATTCTCTCTTTCTCATCACATTGACCACCTTCTAACTAAGACCCTTGAGGACAAGGATAATATTTTGCTCACTGATGTTTCCCAAATGTTAGAACAGTGTCTGGAAGTAGGGTCTGTAAATCTTTGCTTTATGGATAAACAAACTTTTTGGCAGAAGTGACTACTGTTAAAGATGAAATGAATTAATGGGCATACCTTTTGTATCTTCATATTTGGACTGGTACAGGTTTAAGATCATTGTATCATTAATATTATCATTCATTCTACAATAAGAAAAAAATAGACACCTACTCCGGTTCAACAGGAGATATTGAAAGAAATAGAGTGGAGTACAAAAGG